ACAAACAAAAAAGGCACTCAGCGCATGAATCACCATTGGCAAACAATCACGTTCGTCCGAAACATACAGCGGTCTCAGCAAGAAGATTGAGCATGATGCGGTCAAACTCGGCATCGCTACGAGCTGCATCTGTCTGGCGTCCAGACCGCTTTTCTCGCTGGAACATTTCTGGGAACTGGGACTCGTAAAATTCTCGGAATTTGGCATCTCGACTTCTGTTGCATTGGTGGTGTGCATTGCGCGGCCCCCCGCAGAACGAGTTGCAACGAGTCGTGAGATTTCCACAACAACTTTAACAACAAACAACCAAACAGAAACACAACGCGTTCGCAAGTCGGAAAGGTAGGTAGCAGGACTCACATTTTCTTTGGATTGGAATCCTCGACGCGAAGACGCTCCTGCCATTGGGCCAGAAGCGTATCGTACTCGGTTCGGAGTTCGGTGACTTTGCGCTCGGTGGCCTGTCGACGCATGTGCAGCGCGCCCATCAGTCGTGGACGCACCCGATGGTGGTTTTCAATCACGCCGCGATAGGACGGCAAATCCGACGGTTGCATGTAGGCAGGGACTGGCAACACTTGCGATCCAGAGGCAATGGTGCGGTTGGACTTGTAGATCTTTTCAACGATTGTGAGCGTGTCGTCGTCCTGGATTGACTGGACTTTGGCGGGCAGAGCGCGTTCTGCCTCCGATGCGGCTTCCAGTGCAAGGCGCTCTCGAGCCACCTCTTCGCTCTGAGCGCTCTGATCCAACAACAAATACCACCAAGAACAAATCCAAGAACAAATCCAAGCACACCAACAGTCAGGATCGAGCCGAGACAACTTTCAAAACAGAATCGCAAGACGAGTTTCGAGTACCTTGTCGTCCGTCTCTCGCAGGGATGCAATTTGCTGCTCGAGCTCGCCAATGTCGCTCTCGAGCTTTGTGATTTGGCCGAGAATCACGTCCTTGCCTGGGAGCTTGCGCTCTCCAGCACTCGCACCTGCAGCAGCAGCAGCAGCAGTTGGGGCAGCCGGTGTGGACGGATGAGCGCCGCGGCTGGCTTGGAGCTGCATCTGCTGCTGCGGTTGCATCTGGACTTGAGCAGCCGACATTGGCACAGCACCAGCAGCACCAGCAGCCCCAGCAGCACCAGCAGCAGCATTCGGAGCGCCCAGGAACGGGGGAATGGTCGCTTGGCGATCGCTCGAGTACGACGCGGCAAACCCACCAGCCATCATGGACTGCGCTTGACCTGGAGGAGCAGATGATGGTAGGCTTGTTGTTGTAGTAGTAGTAGTCGTAGTAGTAGTGGTGTCATCCCACCGGCAGAGGACGGGAACGAGGACGCCGCCCGGCCAGGTGGCGGCTGCGCGCTGTTCCAGGCACCGCCCTGGCCTTGCAGCTGCTGCTGAGCCTGGGCCTGTGCGAGTGGTGACGAGAAGAGCTGCCCGACGGCTGCAGCGGCTGCGGCTGTGATGGCTGCCATTGCGGCTGCATGGTTGGCTGCTGCTGCTGCTGCTGCTGCTGCGCTTTGGTTGTAGCTCGAGTAGCCACCTGGAGTCATGGACGCCAGCGATGATGCCAATGTCGCTGACGATGCGGACGCGGGTGGCCCGGAGAAGCCCGCCGTCATGGGCACTGAGCCATGGAAGCTCGGTGGCTGGCGGGCAGGGGCGTTGGGTGACTGCTCACGATCGCGCAGGTCGCGGAAGATCGACGGCCGCGGTGGCGACTGCTGTTGCTGCTGTTGTTGCTGTTGTTGCTGCAGCTGAGGTCGCTGCCCGGGCGGCGTGGCCATTTGGCAGACGGGGAAAAAGGGGAAAAAGACTGAACCTGAGCCGTT